AGGCCCCCGAATGTGAAAAAAGTTTCCCCCCTATTCAAACTCAATCTCAATCGTTTCGAATGTTTTGAATTTATAAATTTTTTTTTTTTTTTTTTTTGAGGTAATTAATGATCTTGAACAAAACAAAACAGCAAAAAAACTAATTTTAACTTTGATTGATTGAAAATCGATTGATTGATTGATTTTTCGCGTTCAAACCGAGTGAGAGAGAGAAAAAAGCGGACGGATATCATGTCTAATTGAATTTTTGAATGGGAAAAAAAATTTTTAAAAAATTTAAATTTTTTAAAATTTTTAAATTCCCGATTACAAAATTGCCAACGCCTAGAGATTTGTAAAAACGAAAAAGAAATTTCATTCATCAATTTCATTAATCCTTTTTCCTAGCTAATTTTTTTTGTTGTTGTTGTTGTTGAATTAACTTGGATAAATCACGAATGTTTGGACATTATCCATAACAACCAACAACAAATCAATCCGAAAAAAAAATTTATTTAACACTGACTGACACACACGAAGAGAAAAAAAAAACATTCTTCAAATAGACAAAAAAAAAATTGAACATTTTTTTCCGGTTTTTGATATGATTGATATGTATGTGTTTGATTGATTGATTGATTGATTGATTGAACAGCTTTAGCATCCATCCATCAATCAATTCATAGTCATTATCATTATTAATCGACAAAAAAAGAACGACATTATTTTTCAATGTATTGCAATGATGATGATGATGATGAAATTGAATCCAAAAAAAAACAGAATGTGACATGTGATAATAATGGTTAATGATGATGATAAGATTATTTTTTACGAAAGACAATGATGATGATGATGTTTGATGTTTGATGTTTGATTTGAGCAAAACAAAACAAAAACCGCTCCAAATCTCAATTTAACCAAAAAAAAAAGAAGATTTCTTTGATTGAGAAAAACACACACCACACACACACATTCTCTAACCACTTTGGTATTTTTTCTTTTCTTCTTCTTCTTCTTTTTCTGGTGATATTTTTTTTTCTTCTTAGAAAGTGAAACAAACAAACAAAAAAAAAACAAAGTAAATCATCATTACAACAAAATTAAATTATCATCCAAAAACAATAACGATGATGATACGACGATAAAAAACAATAAAGGTGTTTAGTGAGTTTGTTTTGATGATGGATTTCAGTGATGGATAATTAATCCTTAATTACGCCCAAATTATCTGATGAGTTTTTTTTTTAAAAATATATATGTGTGGTGCAATATTCTTGTTGTTGTTGTTGATTACCACCAGCCAAAAAAAAAATACCAAACCAGGATCAATTTTTGCCAATATAAATGCATGTCAATATCCATCAGAAATTTTTTAAAACAATTTTCAAACATCGTAGTTGTTATTGCAATAAAATTCCAATCTGATTTGATCTGATCCGATCGATTTTTTTCTTGTGAATTCTACTCGGGAAGTAAAACAAAAAATGTCAACACAAATGGATATGGGTGGTAATAATTCAATGCATCATCATGGTATGATGATGTATTTTCATACAGAAATTGGTGGTGATTATATTCTTTTTCAATCATGGAAACCACAAGATGGTAAAGGTAAGTTTATTGTTCGATTCGAACATCGAACATCTTAAAAAATCGATAGTATCGATATGAAATAAACTTAAATTATTTCCCCCGGAAATATAGAAATGGCCATTGCATGTTTTGCAACATTATTGTTTACAATATTCTATGAAGCATTCAAACTTTTACGAATTAAAGTACAGAAAAAACTTTTGGATAATGATTCTGGGTAAATATTATTGGTTTTTAAAAATTTTTTAATTTCGTTAATTTTTCTTCTTTGTTTTTTTTTCAAAACAACAACAACAACATCCAGCAACAAATATACAAATATTTATCATATATTACAATCATGTTTACTTGGTTTACAATATCTAATATCATATTGTTTAATGTTAATCGCCATGACTTATCAATTTTATCTTATTTTATCAATTGTTATTGGTGCTTTTATTGGTAATTTAATATTTGCACCATTGTCTATTGATTCGAATAGTGGTTCAGCTGATTTTGGTGATCCTTGTTGTGGATAATTTTACCTCCAACGTTTGACCTGTTTGTCGTTATCGATTGTAAAAAGTTGAATGATTTTTTTGTTTTGTTGAATAAAATTGATTTGTTTGTTAAATTTTTCTTTCATCTATTTTCATTAGTTTTATGATATAATTGATAAAACATTGATTTTGTATTTGATAATAAACGATTTGGTTGATCAAATTCAATAATACGGCCATCATTAACAACAGCAATTTTATCAAAATGTATGATTTGTTGTAAATGATGAACAATAGCAATAATCGTACGTTGACTTTGAAATATATATTCAAATACTAATTGTTCACTTTTCATATCTAATAATGATGTTGATTCATCCATCAATAAGATTGCTGTATCGACAAGAAATGCACGTGCACAACAAAGTAATTGTCGTTCACCGGATGAAAAACGTTGTTTAACAGTTTGTTCATCATTAAATTCTTCATCCAATGATTGTATTGTTTTATCTAAATGAAAATCTTTTAAAATTTTCCATATTTCATTATCATTATGTTCACGATCCGGATCAAGATTTTCACGTATTGAACCAGTAAATATAACTAAATCTTGTGGTATAATTGATAAACGTTTTCTTAATCGATATGGACAAATATTTGTAATATCAATATTATCGATAAATATTTGTCCACTACATATTTCATTAATACGAAACATTGCACCGATTAATGATGATTTTCCACTGCCAGTTCGACCACAAATACCAATCTGTTGGATCAAAAATAAATAAATCAATCAATAATTTTTCCAAATAATAAAAAAACCTTTTCCCCAGGTCGAATTTGTAAACAAGCATCATGAATAATTGGTTTAAGATTAGCACCATAACGTATTGTAACATTACGAAATTCAATTTGACCATTTTCTGGCCAATTTTCGGAAATTTCTACGACAAAAAAAAAAATTCAACGAAAAAATTAAAGAATCAAATTGAAAACAAAAAAAACCAACCTTGAAATTCATTTGACAATGAATTTGTACAACTTTTTTCTCTTTCCAAACCGATATACGAATGAATACGTTCAACTGAATGCATATTCATTTCAACTTGTGCTAAATTTCTTACCAACCAATTTAGATAAACAGGTACTAATAATGTATAGGTCATTGATAGACCAACATATGCTGATTGAACATTCCAAAAAAATGCAGCCGTAATTGATATTATCATTGCTAAAAATAATATAATACCACCAAAATAATCCAATAGAATGCCAAGAAAACAATTTGCCGAATTAACCATTAAAAAACAAAGATTATTTACATCAAGATATTGATGAAATTTTTCCTGAAACATTTTCTGTTCACGAAATGCACGAATAGTTGATAGACCATCAATAGTTTGATTAAAATGTGATATAATTGGTGATTTTGATGATGATTCCAAACGTTGTAATTGTCGAGATGTACAGCGGAAAATTTTCTGCAAATAATAATAAAGTACTAACATTGGTAGAATAGCTATGGAAAAATATGGACAAATAATAACATCAACAATAATGGCCGATGCACAAAGGAAAAAAAATCTTAACAATACTGGTATGGCGATTGGAAGTTTCTGTTCAAAGAAAACAACAAAAATTAGAAAATTAAAGTTAAATCAATAATCAATAACCTTATCGATAACATTTAAATCATTTGTAAATCGATTTAAAATACGACCAATCGGTGTACGATCAAAAAATCTTAATGGACAACGGACAAGTGTATCCAATAATAAATCATGTAATTGTTTTGCTGCTTTAATTGTTATTAATTGTGCATAAAGATTTGTTGCCAATGATATTATTACCGATATTATTGATAATAAAACATATGATTGTATATAATGGCCAACATTGTTTGATTCATCTTGATCATCATGATAATGTTGTTGTTGTTGTTGCTGGTGTTGTTCATCATTATTAGTCCAATTTGTAAGCCAAAAATCAGCAACAACACGAATTGTTTGATTTAAAATAACCAATATAAAAACAATTGAAACACATGAATATGAATGAACTTTTAGATAGGCTAAAAAAATTTCTTTTGAAATATGATTTTTCCTTGGATCATCATTCAATCGACGATTATCATAACCAATATTATTATCATTCAATAATTGATTTGTTTCAAAATTTGTTATTTCTTGTCGTAATTCTTCAGTTATACAATTTGTTTCATCTTCAAATACATCATCATCACTATCACTATCACCATTATCATTGATTTGTTTTGATTCAACAACATCAACATCCAGTTCATCATGTTCATCCAATTTATGATAATTTCCCATTTGAATTGATGAATGATTATTATCGATTGTTGAATCAGCGCTCAAATAATTTGTTTGTTGTTGTGATTCACCAACAATTCCAGTTGAATAATTTGAAACACTTGATACAAATCTTTGTAATGGTATACGATTATGTGTGATTATTAAATTTGAATGAATATCATCATTATTATTAAATGAATTGGATATATTTGATTGATATGATCCATTAGATTGTAAACGATGTAATGAATTTTTTCGTAATATTCTTCGATTGGTTATTGTTTCATTATTGATTAAACCATTTCTATTATCATCATCATCATCATCATCATTTGTTGTATCATCTAATTCAATTTCCAATTCATGACATGGTAATGTTGGTGTTATACCACAACTTGCTTGTCTAAATTTTTTTTTTCAAAATAAACATTCAATTTATACATGAAAAGTTTTCAAAAAACAAAAAAATTTGTTACCTATAAACTTGTTTATGTGTTCGATGATTATTTTTACAATTTCTTCGTTCACGATTACGATATTCACCTTTTTTTGAAAAATATCTTACTAATTTTTTTCGTTCTTCAGTTGTACGACATGTATCCGGTTTTTGTTGTAAACGTTCAATATTTTCTTTATCTTTTATAACATTACGATGATAAAAAAATGGTTTATTTTCTTTTTCAACTTGTTGTAATGTTCCTTGATTTTTAACCGTACCGGATTCCATAACAATAACATAATCACTACGTGATAGAAATTCTTGACGATGTGTTGCTAATATTACTGTACGTTTTTGATGTTTTATTGCCAATTTCTTTTTTTTATAGGGATAAAAATAGAAATTTTATGGATTTTAACCCTAGGGAAAAAAAGCTTATTACTTACAATTATAGCATTTTCAAACACTGAATAACCAACAATTGGATCTAATGCCGAAAGTGAATCATCAAGTATTAATGTTGATGCCGATGAATATAATGCACGTGCTAATGCTATACGTTGTCGTTGGCCACCGGATAATGTTATACCACGTTCACCGATTATAGTTAAATCACCATATGGTAATAGATCAATATCAGCTTTTAAACAACAAGCACAAATAACTTCATCATAACGTTTCGTTTCGAATGTACGACCAAATATTATATTATCACGTAAAGATATATTCAATATCCATGCCATTGATGGAACATAACCAAAACTAATACGATTTTCCTCTAACCAATGTATTTCACCATTAGCTTTATATGTTTCACCAATCATACTGGCCAAAAGGGTTGATTTTCCACTACCAATCGAACCGACTAAAATTGTTAAACGATTACGTGGAAATCGAACATTAATATCGGATAATGTACATTCAATACTGTCCGGGTTTTTGATATTTGCTCGAATTGCTTCATCATCATCATACCAGATAAATTTTCCATTTTTAATGTAGCAACAAAAATTTTCAAACTGTTGATTTTGTTTTGATAATGGACGATAACTTGATGCAACCGATAAACATCGATCCAATGTACGATGTAAAAATTTTGTATTATTCATTGTCAATGATGATGATGATGATAATTCTGATTGAAGAATTGGTGCCGAACGTGGTGCATCCATCATTGATAAATCATTATTATAATAAATTGATTGTTGATCATTCCATTCGATTATATTTGATTGAATATTACGCATAGAAAAATAATTTGTTAATCTTCGATTACTAACAATAGCACTAATTAACATTGGTATAACTAATGGTACAATATATAATGGTACTGTTATTTGATTAAATAATGCTATACTTGTAAATACGGTTGATGCTTTTAATGGTTGATCTTCAATATATGGATACATTGTAAATGTTATCATTGTAGCCAATATAGCCGATGCTTGTGTATTGAATGCTATTTTTTTTGTTGGCAATCAGAAAAAAATCATCAATATTTTAACCGAAAAAAGAAAGGGTTAATACTTACTATTAATAGCAACAAAAATAGCATCACGTTTCAGATAATCCAATTCAATTTGACGAAATTTTTTCACCTGTTTCGAAAATGATAATTCCCATCCCATTAATTTTAATAATTTAATACCCATAAATAATTCATTGGTTTTATTTACACGTTTATCCGATATGTTCTGATTATAGAATAGATAAAAAAATTGTAAAAATTAGTCAAATTTAACAAATCGAAATTTTTAAAAAACGAATTACAAATTACCAATTGTAATTTTTGTATGGATGAAATTTTTCTTGAACAATAATACTGAAATGGTGATATAATAAAAAATATTATCGAACCATAAATAGTACTGATACCCATTTGCCGATATAATAATATTAATAAAATAATAATTTTTATCGGTACCGACCATAAATAATGCATCATTGTAAAAAATTGAAATATATTTGTTGTATCCATTGTTAAATGATTATAAATTTGACCACCAGAAATTTCATTATCACCATTACCATTATTATTATTATTATTATTATTTACAGGTATATTCAATGCTTTTTGATAGATACAGCACTGTTTTTTTTGGGTGAAAGAGAGGGAAATGGTTAATTTGATACGGGTTAATCAGATAAACTTACACTAAGTGCACTTTTCAATCGTATTCCTTCACTAATAACCAAATGATTAAAATTATTTGATAATGTTGATTGAAGAAATGTTGCAAATAAAACAATAACAGCTAAAACATATGCATTCGATATGAATGTTTTTGTATGAAGAAATTCTATCTGCATATCGAAACTATTTTCATTATTATTATCATTATTTCGAATAAATAATGCTTTCCATTCGATTGTAGAATTTGGTTGTAATGTTGGATTCGATTGTTGTTGTTGTTGTCGGCTAATATCATCCAAAATTAAACCAATTGATAATGGTCCAATCAAACTGGATAGATCGGATAAAATTTTAATTATAGCACCAAATATTAATGATTTTTTATATGTACGCCAACAAACAAGTAATAATAACATTGATGATGATCGATGTTGTTTTTCTTTCTAAATAAGAATTTTCAGGAAAAAAGGATAAATCGATATTTTTATTTTCGAATGAAAGACACTTACATTGACAGAATGAAAATTTTTTAAAAAATGTTCAGTATGTGTAATAGATTGTTCATCATTGGACAATGTACCAAGATCATTGATTAAAAGATTTTTTTGATAACCAAGTTTAAGTATCGGTATAAACCATGAAAATGTTAATTTGGATAAAAATGTTGTCTGATTACGACGATAACATATTTTTGAATTATTATTATTTTCATTTGTTGATTTGGTTTTTTTAATTTTCGGTGATGATGATAATCGTTGATTTGATATTGAATATTGTTTATCTGAACAACATATTTCAAATAATAAAACAATCAATTCTAATGAATGTTTTACAAGGAAAAATGATTGTAAAATAATAATCATGATTAAAAAATATGGTCGTATTAATTCGAATAATAATGATGATTGATTGATTGAATCATTATTATTATTGATCCAAAATTGAATAATAATCAATTTGAAAATATTTGTAAAAATATTTGAGAAAAAATAACCAAATGCAATCAAATTCAATATGAATGAATGAAATGTTGAATTATTTTGCTTTGATATAAAATGATGATTATGATGATTTGTAATTGGCCATATTTGTAATAATCGTTGAATAATTGAATCAAATAGAAAATATTTTCCATAACAAACACCATATAATATTAGATGAATTAGGATTTTTAGAATAATATTGATCAATTCTAAATGTTTGATGATAAAATTATCTATTTGATGATGTTGATGATTATTATCGAAACCAATATTTAGAATAAGTAATTCAATTAATTCACCAAGATAAACGATAATCAATAATAAATATGATAATTGTATAAAGATTTCTTCCCAGAATAATATTCGATATCCTTTTTTATGACTATCGATTAATTGACTATCGATTGTTGTTTCGTTGAGCATAAATGATTTTCGTTCATCACCATCATCATCAACAATAATATCATTATTATCTTCGTATTTTTGTTGTCGATAATCATTCAAATTTGGTGGTGGTGTTGATGGTCCATCAATTTGTATCTGTATTGAATCCGAATTGAATGAATAATCTTGATAGATAAATTGTTCATTTAGATTATCATCATCATCACTGGCGTCTTCCAAATTATCATTATCATTCTTATTAGTGATTATATTCGAATGATGAAAATTTTTAATCCATAATAATTTACGATAACCATTCGTTAATAATAACCAATAAATTATTGGTAAAATTAATATAATTATATTGATTATAAATAACATTAAATTTAATCGATAATTCCATTGATAATAATTCGAATTATCGATTATAATCATTGTTATTGATGATGATGATTTAGATGATGATACAAATGTTACATTCATCATGATGATCAATAAATCAATCAATCAATCAATCAATCGATGAATAAAACAATCAATCAATCATTACAGTCGAAACAAATCGAAACGAAATTTCACCTGTTGTTCATCATTAACCCACACACAAAAAACAAAAAAAAGTTATCGATTTCTATTTTTTCTGATTACAATGAACACGTGTTGTTGTTATTGTTATTTGTACGTAATAAAAAATCAATCAATCAATCAATCGATTTTCAATTGTAAATACAGCAAAACTCAAACACAAACCATTAAAAATCAATCATCACAATGTGTGTGTTTGTTGGTTGTCGTTATTGTTACATGGCTCAATGTTGCTGTTTTTGTTTTTCTTTCATTACAAACAAAGATAATTTCTTTTTTATCATCCATCCTGATGATAATAATGATGATAATGACACAAATATTATATGACGATATTGACACACACAGGATACTTTCACTATTTTTGCTGCAGAATGATTTTATTTTCGATGGAAAATGTGATTTTTTTAAAAAACTTTTCACCAAGCAATCATTATAATGACATAATTGTATTCGCAATTCGAACAAGAAATATTCGAAAGTGATGTACATTTGCAATCGATGATAATATCGATTGTGTGTATGATTACACCATCGATTGCATTCGATATTCTGTGTGATGTAAGCGAGCGAGCAATATTCGGGGAAATTGATTTCTCTTTTTTTTCTTCTTGAAACATCATTATTTTTTTTGAAATCTTCAAACATCTGGAAAGTTTAAAATTAATCAAGAAAAAAGAATTTCTGTTAATTTTTCTAAATTCAATAAATCTGCCCATTGATTACCATCATTCGGTCACATTCTCCAGATTCTTTAATGTTTTTTCCCCTTTCCCCTCTTTCGCACCAAAAATTTATTGAGAAAATCTGAAACATTGATTGATTGATTGATTGAAAATTACCAATTTCCAATTAATCAATCAATCAATCAATCAATCGATTTTCAATTGTAAATACAGCAAAACTCAAACACAAACCATTAAAAATCAATCATCACAATGTGTGTTTGTTGGTTGGCTGTCGTTATTGTTACATGGCTCAATGTTGTTGTTGTTTTTCTTTCATTACAAACAAAGATAATTTCTTTTTTATCATATCCATCCTGATGATGATGATGATAATGACACAAATATTATATGACGATATTGACTCACACAGGATACTTTCACTATTTTTGCTGCAGAATGATTTTATTTTCGTTGGAAAATGTAATTTTTTTTACAAAAAAAAAAAACTTTTTTACCAAGCAATCATTATAATGACATAATTGAATTCACAATTCGAACAAGAAAAAAAGTATTCGAAAGTGATGTACATTCGAAATCGATGATAATATCGATTGTGTGTATGATTACACCATCGATTGCATTCGATTCGATATTCTGTGATGTAAGCGAGCAATATTCGGGGAAATTGATTTCTTCTTGAAACATCATTATTTTTCGAAAATCTTCAAACAAAAAAGGAAAAACATCTGGAAAGTTTAAAATTAATCAAGAAAGAAAAAAGAATTTCTGTTAATTTTTCTAAATTCAATAAATCTGCCCATCGCCGATTACCATCATTCATTCGGTCACATTCTCCAGATTCTTTGAGGTTTTTTCCCCTTCTTCCTTACCAAAAATCACTGAGAAAAGATTGATTGATTGAAAATTACCAATTTCCAATTAATCAATCAATCAATCAATCAATTTTCCCCTTGTGTGTATTCCTTGCATTCAAAAAAAGAAAGAAAGAAATATAATCCGGAAATATACTCAAGATTGAAGAAAAAAAAATGATCGATTGGGTAAAAATAGAAATTTGTGTTTGTTTGTTTATGTTTATGTTTATGTTTGTGTGCAATATTGAGTAAAAAATTAGGACAACAAAAATGATGTAAGAAACCCCCCCCCATTCATTTTAAATTTTTTGATTTTAAAAATTTTAAAATTTAAATTTTATTCATTTTTTCATTGACTGATGATGATTATAATGATAATTGATGATTTAAGCATATGATGATTATTTTCGATGGTTATTATTTTCTTGATTAACCCCTCACCGCCTTTTTTTTTGATTATTTTTTTACACTTTTTTCATTTGTTGTTTCCAATTCTTTTGCTTGTTGTTGTTGTTGTTGTTGTTTTTCAGATTGTTGTTTCATTGTTTTTATTGTTTTTGTATTAAACATTTGTGTTGTTTTAAATTGAAATTTTTCTATCGGTACACGTTCCGGATTAAATAAAAATGATAAACTAAGATCTTTAACAATACTATTTGATTGATCATCAACATTTGAACCAACCGAACCAGTTGGTGATGATTTTATTTTCGAAATTTGTATTGTTATTGGTATTATTGTTGTTGTTGTTGTTGTTTTAGTTGTTGTCGATGTTTTTGTTGTTGTTATTATCGATTTAGGTGATGATGGTGGTGATGATGATTGTTTATTACTTTGCATTAATAATGCTTTTGGTGATGATGATGTTAATGATATTGGTGATGGTAATGGTTGTTGTTGTTGTGATGATAACGGTGGTATTGTCGGTGGAATTGGTGGTAATGGTACCGATGGTATTGGTGGAAATGTTTTCATAACTGTTGCTGTTGTTGTTGCATTTGGTGTGGAAATAGTTTTATTTACTAGACCAGATTTTGGCCTTGGTGATGATATTGATTTTGTTAATGGTAGTGGTTGTGATGATAAATATGATAATTTTTGTTGATGTTTTTGTAATGTTGTTGTTGGTGTTGATGATCTTATTGATTTTAAACCGGACATTGGTGTCGTCGTTGATGATGATGATGATGTATCTTGAGATAATTGACTTTTTGGTGATAAACCAGATCTTCTATGTTTTCTTTTCGATCTACGTTTATCTTTATGTTTACGTTTATGTTTTATTGTCGTTGATTTTTGATCATTTGTTTTTTTACGAAAACGTATACATAATGCAATAACAACAATTGTTAATGTTATAATCATTATTATCGACAATAAAATCATTTGATTTTTTTTTTCTCTATTTTTCGATATTGATTTTTTCGTTTATCAATCAAACAAATCAATCAATCGTATTTAGTCGTACACACAATTTATCGAATGGCGATCGATTTGGTCATTTTAAACCTGAAATGAAATTCGATAATTAAATCGCGATTTTTTTTTTTGTAAAATCAATTTTGATTAGAATTTTTCGGGGAAATTTTCCGGAAAAATGAGTCATACCGAGTGAGTGAGAGTGAGAGAAAAACATTCGAAAATTCGAACGTTATCTAATCGAATCGAATGAAAATGTCAAAACAATTGAAAAGAGTTGAGGTAAACATGAAAAAATCAATCAATCAATCAATCAATTATCAAATATCGATTATTATTGATTGATTATCAACAAAAAATTTTAGTTTAAAAATGAACGATTCGATTTCATTCCTGTCATTCATTCATCATCATCGTCTTATGTCAAAGTTTCGATTTTTGATCCAAGCTGAATTTTTCGTAAAGTTTTTTTTCCCCGACGAAGAACGAACCAACAATGTCCACCACCGCTATTTCATCATCGCAATCATCGATTATTGAAAGTGATCTACGAAAACTCATTAGCCAAGCAAAACGATTACCATCCGATGATTTAGAACCATGTAAAGATTGGACCCGTCAGGAAATTAAACGTGCTCAAAAATTATCCGAAAAAATCAATTGTTTAATGATCAAATCATCAACAATTATAAGATCAGAATTATTTAATGAATCACGTGATTGTTGTAATCATTTAGATCAATGGATAAAACGTTTAGAAATGAATTTAAAATCAACAAATCATTCAACATATCATACATTGGCCGATTTAGGTAAAGCTAATCAAACAAAATGAAAAAATATTTTTTCGTTTTGTTTGTAACACAAATCAATCAATTTGATTTTTAAATCAAATCTTCTTTTAAAAAAATGATTAAATTTTTCAATAAAAATTTTCAAAAATCAAAATGATCCATTTTAACAAAATATGTTTGAAAAATGTTAAAATAGACAACAAATTATCTGTCTGTCTGTGCGCACTCTTTACTCATGAAAAAACATTCATTCGATTTGAGCACCAGCCGTTGCATTAAAATTAGTAAGGGCCCATTTTTTCTTTTTGTGTGTTATTAACGTGAATTTGATTTGTTATTTTTTTATTTTTACGTTGAAAAGATTCTAAAAAATATCGATTATGATGATCAAAACAGTGGATAAAATTGTTGATATTGATATATTTCAAGATGTTTTCGGTTCAATCGATAAAAATTTTATCGAATCAATCGTTTCGATTGCCAGTCTTATTTTCATTGATGGGCAAGAATTTTTGATGATGACAAAAGATTCTACGTTTGCTTATGGTGACCAAATTTGTAAAATGTTATGGTTAGAACCGGATTCATCCAAACCACAAAAGATTTCTTCATTAAATAATATGAAAATCGTTCAAGTGGATTCTGGTGACTATTTTGTCGTTATTCTCACTAATGATGGTCGTGTTTATTTAGCCAGTGATGATGATGTCTGGGATACGAAAAGAACGTTCAAATTAATAACAGTCAGTAATAATGATGATCGATTCAAAATGATTGCTTGTGGAGAATCGGATTTTCTATTGTTGCGACAAGATGGTACTGTTTTCAAAAGTTTTGACAGCTCTAACGATTTCGAAAAATCTCTACCAAAACGTATTGAACCTGTTAAAGGTTTAAAAAATGTGAAACTTATTTCTTGTGGTGAAAGTCATTGGTTTGCATTGACAAATAGAGAAAAACTTTATTCATGGGGAAAAAACGATTATGGACAATCAGGTCATAGTGATCGAAAACTTGTTGACTACCCAAAATTTCTTCAAATTTCTAGTGATTCGATTAATAATCGAATCAAAGATATTGCGACTGGCATGTATTTTTCCTTAATTTTACTGGAAAATGGGCAACTTTATTTTTGTGGCAAGGATTTGGCTGATGCTGATGAATACTCGGACTCTAAAAATGTTATTTCCCCAGAATTAGTTCTTAGCGAAGTAGAAAGAATTGCCACTTCAAAATATGGTTTTTTTGCCTTAGCTTATAGTAAATCATCGTATTATGTATGGGGGAAAATTCACGAACATCTTTGGCCTTCATTCACAAAATTGGATGCTCAATTTGAATCATTTGCAGCTGTTATTGAAAAATTCACTCCATTACCATTTACATTTGGTCTGACACCAACATTTTATCAAATTGAAGATTGTAATCATCCACTTCGCAAACCCGAAGAATCTATTCGTCGATTATTTAATAATCCTGATAATTATGATGTTGAATTCATCATTGGCAAACAACAACAACGTATTGTGGCAAGTAAATGCTATCTAAAATCGGTTTCGGAATATTTTCGCAAAATGTTATCGGGTGAATGGCGTGAAAATGATCGTATAATGATTGATTCATATTCCTATGATACATATTATTCATATCTAAATATGTTACATTGTGGCCATAAGGATTCTATCAAAATCAACGCAGACAATATTGGCGAATTCACTGATCTAGCACATTGTTATTGTGATCAAGAATTGCTTGGATATTGTAAAAATTTTATTCGAAAGAAACTTGATGAACAAACATTAGAAATTTATCTTCCATTAATTGTTGAATATCAACTTGATGAATTTAATGATAGACTTCGACAAATTACATTGGAAAATGTATTGCCTAATATTCAAATCGAATCAATTCAAGATTTTCTTCAAAATCATTTTCATATTCAATAATCATTTATNAAATATTTTATTCAAAATGATCTTAATGAAAAAACATTACAAATTTATCTTCCAATAATTTCTAAATATCAACTTGATGAATTGAATGGTAAACTTCGACAAATTGCATATGATAAACTATTTCCCCATACGCGAAGCAATTATCGACAAAAAATTGAGAATTCTGTTCAAGATTTTCTTCAAAATTATATCGAAAAACAGCAACCATCATTGCATTCATCTTCAGAATCAATAGATTCATCAAACAAAAAACCCAAAATCAAATGATTGCATTTATTTTTCAAAAAAAAGTTCTGTAAGAGGTGGAATTTATCAACGATATTGTCCTTCATTCACAATATTAAATTTTAAATACAAATCATAACATTGCAGTTGTTGTAGAAAAAAAAAACGTAACATTACCATTGACATTTGGTTTAACATCAACATAAAACAATTAACGATCCTTCTATTTAAGATTTTTTTTCTTCAAAATCATTGTTTTATAACATTTTTTTTCTTTCACTAATCAAATCAAATGATCGATTGATTAACAATAAAAAAAAAATTGATTTTTTTTGGGAGGGAGGATTTTTTTTCGGTTGTTACATTCTGACTTGAATTTGGAAAACGCGCGCCAAAAAGATTTTCAAATTAAAATCATTGATGCTATCGTCGATTATGGAAAACAAAACTATAGTTTTGTTTTCCATCTGTTGCACTCTTCATTCCACGTTTTTTTTTTTTCTTGCATGATAAACATTCATTCGATATTGTTTTTTTGTTATTCTTATTCGATTATATTTTTAGTATTGCTTTTAGCGAATTGAATTTGATTTTTTTGAAAAAAAAATATTTGTCATAGGAAAATTATAAATTAATGGAAATTGGAAATCAAAACAAATCAAATCATCAGCACAACAATTATTGGAAGGATGTTGAAAATATAAACAAAACTGGCTGATGAAGTTTGAATTATGATCAAAAATGGAAATAAAATTGATCAGAATTTAGAAGATACAGAAAAACATGATGCCGATGGATTGGAAAAATATTTATCGTTAATATTATCAAGATTTTATGGACGGCTAAAATATTTGATGGAAAAAACATATATAAATTCGATCAAAATTAGCAAACGTTGGTTTTAAATTGATGGAACTGGTCATATTGGTGGTAATGGAAATATTGATAATTGTATTGTAATTTTGGTGTTTTTAAATGTGAATAAAAAGTGTTGTGTTTGATATAATTAACATCGATTATGATGCCCAAAACAGTTGATAAAATTGTTGATATTGATATATTTCAAGATGTTTTCGGTTCAATCGATAAGAATTTTATTAAATCAATCGTTTCGATTGCAAGTCTTTTTGAGGATGATGGCAAAAACTTTTTGATGATGACAAAAGATTCTACATTTGCTTATGGTGACCAAATTTGTAAAATGTTATCGTTAAAACATGATTCATCCAGACCACAACCAATTTCTTCATTGAATGATATGAAAATCATTCAAGTTGATTCTGGTGACAATTTTGTTGTTCTTCTCACTGATGATGGTCGTGTTTATCTAGCCAGTAATGATGATGTCTGGGATACGAAAAAAACATTTAAATTAATAACCGTCAGTAATAATGATGATCGATTCAAAATGATTGCTTGTGGAGAATCAGATTTTCTATTGTTGCGACAGGATGGTACTGTTTTCAAAAGTTTTGACAGCTCTAACGATTCCGAAAAATCTCGACCAAAACGTATTGAACCTGTTGACGATTTAAGGAATGTGAAACTTATAGCTTGTGGTTTAAGTCATTGGTTTGCATTGACAAAAAGAGAAAAACTTTATTTATGGGGAAAAAACTATTATGGACAATCAGATGTTTTTGATGTTTTTGGTCGCTTAACAGATCTTGATTATTGTGATGATATTAGTGAGCCAACATTTGCTCAATTTCCTATTGATTCGATTGATAGTCGGGTCAAAGATATTGCTTCTGGCAGGTATTTTTCCTTAATTTTACTGGAAAATGGGCAACTTTATTTTTGTGGCATTGATTTGGCTGATGCTGATGAATTCTTCTTTTTAAAAAGTGTTGTTTCACCAAAATTAGTTCTTAGCCAAGTAGAAAGAATTGCCACTTCAAAATATAAAAGATTTGCCTTAGCTTATAGTAAATCATCGTATTATGTATGGGGGAGAATTTACAAACATCATTGGCCTTCATTCACAAAATTGGATGATAAATTTGAATCATTTGCAGCTGTCGTAGAAAAATTCACTCCATCACCATTTACATTTGGTCTAACATCAACATTTTATCAAACTGAAGATTGTAATCATCCATTTACCAAATTTAAAGAATCGATTCGTCAATTATTTAATCATTTACATCTTCAATAATCATTTATAAACATTTGTTTACTAATTAAATCAAATGATCCTTTTTGATTTTTTTCCTTCCTAATAAAATTGATTGATTAACAATTTTAAAAAATTGATTAATGATTTTTCTGTGTGATTTTTTTTTTGTTGTTGTTAAATTCTGACTTAAATTCGAAAAATGCGCGCCAAAAAGATTTTCAAATTAAAATCATCGATGCTATCCATCCATTTTAACAAAATATGTGAAAAAAATGTTTAAATAGACAACATAGTTTTTTTTTCTATCTGTTGCGCTCTTCATTCCACGTTTTTTCTTGCATGAAAAACATTCGATATTGTATTTTGTTATTTTTATTGAGCTCGATTTTCTTTTCAATGTTGTTTTCAGCAAATTAAATTTGATTTTTTGGAAGAAAACATCAATCATGATGGCCAAAACAGTGGATAAAATTATTGATATTGATATATTTCAAGATGTTTTCGGTTCATTCGATAAAAATTTTATTAAATCAATCGTTTCGATTTCCAGTGTTTTCTATGATGAACAAAACTTTTTGATGATGACAAAAAATTCTACGTTTGCTTATGGTGAACGAATTTGTGAAATGTTATCATTGGAACATGATTCATCCAAACCACAAAAAATTTATTTATTAAATTTTATCAAAATTGTTCAAGTAGATTTTGGTGACAATTTTGTCGTTCTTCTCACTAATGATGGTCATGTTTATGTAGCCAGTGATGATGATGTCTGGAATACGAAAAGAACAATTAAATTAATAACTGTCAGTGATAATGATGGTCGTTTCAAAATGATTGCTTGTGGAGAATCGGACTTTCTATTGTTGCGACAGGATGGTACTGTTTTCAAAAGTTTTGACGATTCCCAAAAATCTCGACAAAAACGTATTGAACCTGTTGACGATTTAAGGAATGTGAAACTTATTGCTTGTGGTTTAAGTCATTGGTTTGCATTGACAAATAGAGAAAAACTTTATTCATGGGGAGACAACGAATTTGGACAATTGGGTCTTGATAGTTATAGTAGTAGTGTTTATCAACCAATATTTGTTCAATTTCCTAGTGATTCGATTGATAGTCGGGTCAAAGATATTGCGACTGGCAGGTATTTTTCCTTAATTTTACTGGAAAATGGGCAACTTTATTTTTGTGGCATTGATTTGGCTGATAAATACTCCGAATCTAAAAAGGTTTTTTCTCCAAAATTAGTTCTTAGCAAAGTAGAAAGAATTGCCACTTCAAAATATAGTAAATTTGTATTAGCTTATAGTAATTCATCGTATTATGTATGGGGAAAAATTTACGGACGTCATTGGCCTTCATTCACTAAATTAAATTTTCAACCAAAATCATTTGCAGCTGTTATTGAAAAATTCACTCCCTTACCATTTACATTTGGTCTGACATCAACATTTTATCAAATTGAAGATTGTAATCATTCACTTCGAAAACCCGAAGAATCGATTCGTCTATTATTTGATAATCCGTATAATTATGATGTTGAATTCATCATTGGCGAACAACAACAACGTATTGTGGCAAGTAAATGCTATCTAAAATCGGTATCGGAATATTTTCGCAAAATGTTATCTGGGAAATGGCGAGAAAATGATCGTATAATGATTGATTCATATTCTTATGATACATATTATTCATATCTAAATATGTTACATTGTGGTCATAAGGATTCAATCAAAATCAATGCAAACAATATTGCCGAATTCATTGATCTAGCACATTGTTATTGTGATCAAGAATTGATTGATTATTGTAAATATTTTATTCGAAATGATCTTAATGAAAAAACATTACAAATTTATCTTCCAATAATTGTTAAATATCAACTTGATGGATTCAATGATAAACTTCGACAAATTACATTTGAAAATGTATTGCCAAAAATTCAAAATGAATCAATTCAAGATTTTCTTCAAAATCTTTTGCATCTTTAATAATCATTTATATACTTTTTTTTTGACTTATCCAAAATCAAATTATTGTTAATTTTCTTCAATAAAAATTGATTTAAAATAAAAATTTTATCAAATCTTTATAAAAATATTTTGAATTTAAAAACCTTATGTACGTTGAAGGAAAATAATGAATTTTTGTTTTGTTTTGTTGATTTTCGAATACCTATTTCGATTGTTTTGGTCTCTCAATCTCAGTGCTGCACAATAATCGCGATGCATCGGAAAAACAATCGAAAAATATTTCAAAGCAACAACTGCAGTGTGTGTTTACAATTATGTGGATTTTTTTCTGATTGGTCTGTGTGTGTGAGTGAGTGTGTGCGGAATTCATTCGATCTTCCTTATTTTTTTTTTTTTGTTATTTCGTATTGTGCTCATTGTTTTGTGTTGTTTTTAGCGAATTGAATTTGATTTTTGACTCTTGAATTTGAAAAAAATATTTAACAACAATCATGATGGCCAAAATTGTGGATAAAATTGTTGATATTGATATATTTCAAGATATTTTCTGTGAAATTGATCAAAATTTTATTAGATCAATCGTTTCCATTGCCAGTCTTTTCAATAAAGAGAAAGAATTTTTGATGATGACAAAAGATTCTACTTTTGCTTATGGTGATCGAATTTGTAGAATGTTATCATTGGAACATGATTCATCCAAACCACAAAAGATTTCTCTATTAAATGATATGAAAATCGTTCAAGTGGATTCTGGTAACAACTTTGTCGTTCTTCTCACTAATTATGGTCATGTTTATTTAGCCAGTGATGGTAATTGGGATACCAAAAGAACATTTAAATTGATAACCGTCACTAATGATGCAGATCGTTTCACAATGATTGCTTGTTCAGAATCTGATTTGATATTATTACGACAAGATGGTGTCGTTTTCGAAAGCGCTCATTCTACATTTCGCCATTCATACGGATTTAATACATTTGGTGCTAAATATTTTGAAGCTATTAATAGTTTAAAGAATTTAAAACTTATAACTTGCGGACGAAATCATTGTTTGGCATTGACAAATGGACAAAAACTTTATTCATGGGGAAGCAACAAATTTGGACAATTAGGTCTTAATAGTGTGCGGTCTGAATTGATCCCAAAATTTTGTCCTTTTCCTGGTGATTCGGTCAATAGTCGAATCAAAGATATTGCGGCTGGAGAGAATTTTTCTTTATTTTTACTCGAAAATCTTGATCTTTATTTTTGTGGCGAGGATTTTTCTGACAATTGTGACGATTTTTTCTCACCGAAATTAGTTCTTAAAGAAGTAGAAAGGATTGCCGCTTTCAAATATGGTAAATTTGTCTTGGCTTATAAGAATTCATCGCATTACATATGGGGAAAAATTGGCCAAAGTCATTGGACTAAATTCACAAAATTGAATATTTGCTCAAAATCATTTGCAGTAATTGTGTCAAAGTTCACATCATCACCATTTACATTTGGTCTAACACCATCATTTAATCAACTTGAACAATATAAACATCTACTTTGCAAACCCGAAGAATCGATTCGTCTATTATTTAATAATCCGGATAATTATGATGTTGAATTTATCATTGGCAAACAACAACAACGTATTGTGGCATGTAAATGTTATCTAAAATCGGTTTCAGAATATTTTCGCAAAATGTTATCGGGTGAATGGCGTGAAAATGATCGTATAATGATTGATTCATATTCCTATGATACATATTATTCATATCTAAATATGTTACATTGTGGCCATAAGGATTCTATCAAAATCAACGCAGACAATATTGGCGAATTCACTGATCTAGCACATTGTTATTGTGATCAAGAATTGCTTGGATATTGTAAATATTTCATTCAAAACGAACTTAATGAACAATCATTAAAAATTTATCTTCCAATAATCTTTAAATATCAGCTTAATGAATTAAATGGTAAACTTCGTCAAATTGCATATGAAAAACTATTTCTAGAAATTCAAAACGAATCAATTCAAGATTTTCTACAAAATTATCTCGAAAAACAGCAATCATCATTGCAATCATCTTCAGAATCAAACAAAAAACTCAAAATCAAATGAATGCATTTATTTCTCAAAATAGTTCTTTGTGAGGTCGAATTCACCAACGACATTATCCTTCATTCACAAAATCATTTGCAGTTGTTGTAGAAAAAAAATCACCACTGACATTTGGTTAAACATCAACATAAAACAATCAACAATAAGAAAAATTTAAAATTTTTATTCAAGATTTTTTTGCTTCAAAATCATTTTCATTGTTTTATAACATTTTCTTTCTATTAATCAAATTAAATTATCCTTTTTTTCATTCAATAAAATTTTTTTTACAAAAAAAAGTCAAAGTTTATAAAAATATAAAATGTTTTTTAAAATTATCGATATCGATTCGAATGTTTGGTCTCGTGAATGTCATTTATGAATGAATACATCATTTTCGAATCGAAAAGCTTATATATAAACACATCTGCAGTGTGTGTTTATACGGAATTTATTCGATTTTCCTTTTTTGAGCTCATTTTTTTTTGTTCGTTGTCGAAATTTATGTGAATTTGGATTTGATTTCTTTCTTTATTTTTTCGAGAAAAAATTCAACATCAATCATGACTAACCAATCAGTTGATAAAATTGTTGATATTGATATATTTCATGATACTTTCTATGCAATCGATAAAAATTTTATCGAATCAATCGTTTCGATTGCAAGTCTTTTCAATGATGGACAAAATTTTTTGTTAATAACAAAAGATTCTTTATTTGCTTATGGTAATCGAATATGTAAAATGTTATCGTTAGAATCGGATTCATCAAAACCACAAGAGATTCCTTTATTAAATGATATGAAAATCGTTCAAGTTGATTCTGGTGACAATTTTGTTGTTCTTCTAACTAAGAAAGGTCATGTTTATATAGCCAGTGATGATGATATATGGGATACGAAAAAAACATTTAAATTAATAACCATCAATAATAATGATGATCGTTTCAAAATGATTGCTTGTGGTGCATCGAATTTATTATTGTTACGAAATGATGGTACTGTATTCAAAAACATTCATAATTCACCTTTAATGCTTGACGGTTCTAAATCAAATGTTAACGAATGTATTGAACCTGTTAAAGGTTTAGAAAATGTAAAACTTATTGCTTGTGGAAAATATCATTGTTTGGCATTGACAAATGGACAAAAACTTTATTCATGGGGAAGCAATAATCATGGACAATTAAGTCTTGGTCATCGTAAAAATGTAAGTGAATCAACATTATTCCTAATCCCTGGTGATACGTTCAATAGCCGAATCAAAGATATTGCGTCTGGCGAAAGTTTTTCCTTATTTTTACTCGAAAATGATGAACTTTATTTTTGTGGCATAGATTTGGCTGATGTTTATAAGTCCTGTAATCATAAACGTATTGTTTTGCCGAAATTAGTTCTTAGCCAAGTAGAAAGAATTGCCACTTTCAAATATGGTAAATTTGTATTAGCTTATAGAAAATCATCGTATTATGTATGGGGGAAAATTTACGAACGTCATTGGCCTTCATTCACTAAATTAAATTTTCAACCAAAATCATTTGCCGCTATTGTAGCAAAATATTCACCATCGCCTTTGACATTTGGTCTAACATCAACATTTTATCAACTTGATGATTGTAAACATTCACTTTGCAAACCCGAAGAATCTATTCGTCTATTATTTGATAATCCGGATAATTATGATGTTGAATTTATCATTGGCAAACAACAACAACGTATTGTGGCAAGTAAATGTTATCTAAAATCGGTATCGGAATATTTTCGCAAAATGTTATCTGGGAAATGGCGTGAAAATGATCGTATAATAATAGATTCATATTCTTATGATACATATTATTCTTATCTAAATATGTTACATTGTGGTCATAAGGATTCAATCAAAATCAATACAGAAAATATAGCCGAATTGACCGATCTGGCACATTGTTATTGTGATGAGAAATTGCTCGAATATTGTAAATATTTTATTCAAAATGATCTTAATGAAAAAACATTACAAATTTATCTTCCGTTAATTTCTAAATATCAACTTGATGAATTGAATGGTAAACTTCGACAAATTGCCTATGATAAACTATTTCCCGAAATTCAAAACAATTATCAACAAGAAATTGAGAATTCTGTTCAAGATTTCCTTCAAAATTACCTCGAAAAACACCAATCATCCTCAGAATCAATAGATTTATCAAATAAAAAACCAAAAATCGAATGATTGTTTTTTCCCCCAATAAAAATTCATTTAATAAAAATTTTATTTCATTTTTCTTTTTTTAAAATTTATTAAAATAAAAAAGCGATTAGAAAAAAAAGATCGAATCATTATCGATCGATTTGTATTAGAATTTTCGATAAGAATTTGGAAATTTCACATGAATTTGTCGTTCCAAATGACCAGCCAAATGATGCCAACCAAGCTGTTTGAATGCTTGTATTATTCGATGTTCGGTATCCATTTTGTTGGTCCAAAATGGATCATCTTCATTATTACAGCCACCACTTTCATTGTTGTTTACAGTTGTTGATGATGATGATGAATCATCCGACTGCTTAAGTGCAATCTTAATGAATCGAGCATAATGTCCATGAAGAAGTAAATGTTTCTGTGCAAATGGCAATGTTTTCGAATCATTATAAATATTATCCACTAATAATGATAATTTTCCATAAACATCTTCAATATTTTCAGAAAATTTGCCAGGAATTTCAACATTCGAATGATAATGACGACGATGTTTAATCAAACGACAAAGCTGTATACCTTTAATAATCAATGTATCCATTACTATTGATTTAGTTTTTTCCGTTCTAGATTTGATGATTAAAAACAAAAAAAAAAACAAAAACAAAACAAAATGAAAGCAAAATAACAAACGAAATTTTAAAAAACTTACATTTTAGCCTGTGATTGTGAAACAAGAATTCGTTTGTTATCCAATTTAAATGTTGTATATGTGTTTAGAAAATCTTTGATTATTGGTTCAAGAATTTTATCCGCCATTTCAATTTGATTTAATAGTTCTTTTTCTTTAGAACAAAGCCATTCATGATCATCACCACCACCAACAATATCATTATCATGTTTATCATCTTTAGTAGTTTTTGAAGCTTCATCAGTTTCACATATTATTTTTGAATGTGGATTTTTAATCGGTTCCTGATAACGTAATTGTAATTTGGCTAACAAAAATTGTGGATCACAAGCAACATTATTATCTGATTCCAATGATTCCAAATATTTTCGTTGACAATTTTTATCCAATTTATTGACAAGACCAATACGAATTTCATTCAAATCTTTATCATCATTCGATGTTGATGATTTTGTTGAATCTGTTGTTGTTGTTGTTGAATCCGTTGTTGTTGTTGTTGTTGTTGTTGTTGTCGGAGTTGTTGATTGTTTATTTTTATTATTATTCTGATTCGAAACCGAATTCGATCCATCACAATCAACTATCAATTCGATTGGAAAATTTTTCATAAATAATGCTTGTTGTTGTTGATCATTATTATTACTACTATTTTGATTCGTTTGAATTGAAATATTACCACGAAATATTCCCATCATAGATGATTTGATTGGTATAGATTTCGAACCAATCAAACATGATCCATTCATAATATTCGATATAAATATCGGTACAGTAATATTTGTTGGTAATAAAATATTTGTCAATTTTTTACTATCATTACCAATAATTGCCTGATAATTTGATGAATAAATTGGCAATGTGATTGTATCACGTAATTTATGTATAATTTGTATTGGTAATTCTTGTACATGTTCCAATTGTTTAATCGATTCATGACGAATTTGTAACAATATTTTATATTCACCTTTATCCAATTTTATATTATACTAAATTTTTATAAAATAGTGGAAAAGAATTTTTCGATAAATCAATCAATCAATCAGTTTTTTTTTGTTGTTGTTGGACAAACCTTTTCAGGATAAGCATCACCCGATGCTAAATGTTGTTTATTCGAATCAAACAGCATCCATAATTGTGATTCATATGGTGATTCATAAAGTATATCCGAAAATAATGGAAACGATATACGACAATCACTGTTTTTTGTCTGTGATTGATGAAATTTTTTTCAAAAAAAAAAGTTTTTTTTTAAAAAAAAAACAAACATCTTTTAAAAAAGAAAAAACTTACCAATTTAAGCGAATAAGTCAATATTATTTCATAGATAATTTTTCCTTCTGGCCATTTATCACGACAATCAAGTAATGGTCGAATTTTTGATTCCAATGGTTTAATCGAATGAATAAATGTTTTAAATTTTAATGATGGATTAATTTTCATTGGTTGTTGACCGAAATTTCTTAAATCAATACGTTTAATACAATTACTTGCAATCAAATTACCGTTACCCGTTTGATATTCATTAATTATATTGATACGATAAAATTCCAATTCAACACTGGTTTCATTATTGAATAAACAAGACCACCATTTACCGAAACAAATTTCCATTGTTAACGATCCGATTACATCAAAATTATAGCAAATATTTGATGATGGTTGAATGGAAAAATATTTAAAAAAATCATAATCCCTATAACTTTTTTGTGCAGGTAATTGATGAATATGAAGAACATATTTTCCAATTTCGGTTGTATGATTATTACGTATTACGATACGTGCTGATGTTGAATTATCTGGTACATTGATAAACAAACGTTTAAAATAACCAGCACGAAAATGTTCAGTAAATTGATATCGATCATTTTCACTAACGTATAGGGAAAAAAATTTAAAAAAATTAAAAAAATTAAATTTCCATTAAAACTTACATAATCAACGGTTTAATAACTGTAACAAGAATCTTAAACGATGATCCTTTTTCAATACATTTTACATCATATGCTTCAATCCATGTTTGATAATATTGACCATCCACTAATGAACTAGGATCAATACGTACCATAAACGAACGTGAACCATATGTTAGATTAAAATATTTTGGACATTTTATCCATGTTTCCGTACAGATTAGATTGAAATTCATTTCAAAATTTATCTTATCATCTTGATTTTTATCTTGAAATAATTCCGGTGTTATTGTTATTGTATGCATTGATGGTTTTCTTGTTTGTTCAAATTCACGAAGATAAATTCCTAATGCATTAGTCGATGATGATGATGATTGTCCATCACTGTTACAAGTGATTCGAAATTGAATATTACGTTCATTATTAAGCTGTTGTTGATAAGTGGTTAGAAAATCAAAAGCTTTTTCCACTTGTACTAAACCATTACCATGTGATATTGGTTCAAAATTTGCAACTTTCAATGCAGTATTTTCCAAACTCATTCGTATTGAATATGGTGTATATGGTATTGATCGTTGTTTACATGCCGATAATAATAATGCAATACAACCACAAACATTTGGTGATGCCATCGATGTACCATTCATTAGTACACCACTTTTCAGTGTCCAATTCGGTACGGATGTAATTGCACCACCTGGACCACAAACCGAAACACCTGGTGCACCATTACTAGCCGGACCACGTGATGTCCATGAATATGATGATCCGGGTAATTTTTCCAACATTGAATATTCAGCTTCCATCATATCAGGTGTAACATAAGCACCAACACTAATTATCTTATCGGATTGCATTGATGATAATGCACCAAGTGTTGATAAAGCTGGTCCATCATTTCCAGCTGCCACAACATAGATAAGACCATGTTTATTGATCAAATCATTAACCAGATCGAATACACGACCTTCGGCCCAATGACCAGGTTCACCATAGCTCATATTAATTACATCACAACCAGATTCAATAGCTTTGATAAATGCACGAATAATAGCCGAACCAGTTTCCATTGTACCAAGACGATTATCACCGATAACAATCGATACAAGCTGTGCACCCGGTGCAACACCATTTCGATCCGGATCATTGGGAAAATTTGCTGCAGCAATTGATGCAACATGTGTCCCGTGACTTGAAGATTGGCCAACAATTTCCAAAAGATTTCCATCATCATAAATATTAACCGAATAATTAAATTTATCACGATCCGAAATGGTACCATATTGATGACATTCACGATAATTACCTAAAACAATACAATCATTTAATCGTCCTTCACCAGTTGTATCGATACAGGCTCTAAATTTTGTTTCAATTTAATAAATTAATATAGAAACAAACCAAACAAATCACAAAACAAAAAAACTTACTTCCAATATTGACCATCGAAAAAAACAATACAATCAAATGTAGGACCAAGATCGGAAATTTTTGCCTGTGCATCTTTTAATAAATCAATTTGTGATTTTAATTCTTCACGTTCAAGCATAATACGAATTCTTTCCTGTTGATTTTCAATAATTTCATCATTCGAATGTTTTTGACAAAATAATTCATAACGTTTTAAAGCATCGGCCAATAATGGTTTATGTTTAGGTAGAAATTCTTTATCCAGATAATCTTTTTTTATACGTGATCGTACAGTGGTTGGAAATAATTCATAAATATTTTTCACACCAATATGATATTTTCCGGATGGATTTTTCCATTCATTTGGAATCTTTTGGAACAAACAAACAAAGATTATTTACAATCAAAACAAAAAAAACATTCAATAATCATTTACCTTAAGTTTACGTTTAGTTAAACCGATAATATAACCATCAGAATCTGGTTCAACAATTGTTGTTGTATCAACATCACCAGCACCGGTTGCATCAATCATATCGATAATTTTTGGTTGTCCATCACTGGTTACGGTTAAACCTGGTGCACCAGGATCAATACCTGAATCAAAAATAGCCATACGTACTGAACGACCATCATATGATGGATATTTTGTTAAAAATATTGATGCTTGTGTTTCACGTTTCGGTAATAATGCATTGTAGGGAAATTCATCAAAATTATGATCGGTCATTTTTGGTTTGTTTGGTTGAAAATTCAATCGTTATTCGAACAAATTTTTGTGGATAAAATTTCAAAGTTTTTATATGAGAAAAAAGACCAAACGAAATATTTTTATTATCGTTTTTCCGTTCTGTCTGTTTTATCGATGCTTGTTTGTTTTTGTGCAAAACTCAATCAATCTGTTAATCAGATTGACCGGTGTGGTAATAAAAAAAACAAAACAAAACAAAATCTCGATGATGATCGGAAATATTTATTGAAATGACAACAAAAAAAAAACATACGATTCGAGGACAACACCCGAAGATAAATAAATTTGTTTAATTAGTTGAGTTTTAAATAGAAAAATTAACGATTATAAATCGAAATATCTATTATATAAACACGAAGAGTGTCGTGCACAAGAAAGTGTCGTTAGCAGAGAAATGTGTTAGCAAATTTTTAATACACAAATGTGATAGAAAGGGTCAGCAGAAATAGTCAGTGTGCGCAGCAGCGTGCGCAACATGAATGGCCTCGGGATAGAAACAATTGTTAACGCTTAGGCCCCGGTCTCATTGTAATGGGACCGCGGCCTTAAGCAGGTTAGGTTAGGTTTGTGCAATTAGGTTTTCCGGGAGGAACTAACTAAAGCGCCAATATTTGTGGCTATTTTTGGCGATTTTCTCCACTATTTTTCTTGGACCGATTTTTCGGTGAAACCCGAAACAAATGGATAGAAAACAAATAAATAATTGGATCGAATCCCAAAAGAACAAAACTTCAGCCAAAGATTTGGGCGATGGGCGGCGTAGCCGCTCATCTGCCAGAATCTACGGGCTGAAGCAAGTGTGCGTGCTGCTGGCCAAAGGCCAGCAACACACACTTGTTTTTTTTTTAAAAAAGAAAATATTGATCAAAAAGTATAACCATCCTCATCATAAATGATCGATTTTATTTATTCACTGTGTTTATGCAAACTCATTGTTGTATACAATTTTAGCGCATGCGTTGTACGATTTCGAACATTTTGGAAATTTTTTTTTTTACTATTCATTATTAACACGTTCATACCATGCATGGTGTGTGGGATTATTTTTGAAAAAAATCTTTTTTTAATTTTTATTAAATTTCAATATTACAAAAACAAATTTGAAGGCATTGGACAATGATTTTTTGTTGATGATGATTAACATTGTTACACAAAAAAAAATGAAAATGTTATGATAGTCAAATGTATCAATCGGAAAGAAAATCATTTTCAGTTATTGTTAATTTCGGTTGATTTTTTTCGTTTGCAAGGCAAATCTTTCGTTTTACAAAAAGATTGTTGTTTGGAAAACTATTTCAAAAATTTTGTAATATTATTACTGATTTTTGGTAAAACATCTTCGATGGTTATTTTGACAAGTTTATTTCACCAAGTTTATATTTACTGATTAATGGTAGATAAGTAAATAAAGTCCATTCATTTAGAACCATTCGTATGAATGATTTACAATGTTTCATTAATTGTTCATCATCATAACAATTGGCCAGATCGATAAATTCGGCTATATTGGATTGATTGATTTGGATTTGGCCAGTATGTAACATACGTAGATATGAATAATATACATCATAACTATAAGCATCAATCACTACTCGATTATTATTTTCTTGCCACGCACCTGAAAACATTTGACTATAATATTTGGATGCCATTTTCAAATAACATTTACAAGCCAATATACGTTTGTCGCCGATAATAAACTCGACATCATAATTATCTGGATTATTGAATAATCCAATAAATAAAATCGGATTATTGGATTCGTATGTATAGAAGGTTGATGTTAGGCCAAAAGTGATTGGTGATTTATTTACTATTGCTGATGCTGCTGCAAATGATTTCAGTTGACC